CAAGGGGCCCTGCACGAAATTATTACAGCCAAGAATGTCCCATGGGGACCTGTAGATAGGGGCTGCTCTGTTACGTGGAGCAGGTTCCTTGGAAATGGGCCACAGAATATTCCAGAGGTGTCTTCTGAGGCTTGCTACACGTGTTACCCATTGGAATATGGTTACTGTAGTATTTTCATGGATATTCTAGCTTGTTCACATTCTTATTACACGTGTGGGGGCTTTGTTGTCACGTGCAATGGGGATTCTGGGGCTTTTGTGGCCCAATCCTTGGATACTGGTGCGCAGCATGACTACGTGGCGCGTGGGCTTGGAGACAGGACTCCACACAGCTCTATCTTCTAAACCGTGCATAATACTCCAATTCTGAGACTGGATTTGGAGTATATGCATTATGCATTATGCAGAGGAGTCACAGTACCCGTGATATGGGGGTACCTGTTAATTATTCATGCATGTATAACAGGGTGAAGGAGTTATAATTTGGGATACCTTTGGCTGAGGTACCCTAGGTTAAATTGTATGCTGATTCAGAATCTGCAATAATATTTAAGGTTTTGTTTATACTTTTTAAGTTATTCATTTATTTTTATGTATTTTTATCCTATTTACATAAGTAATATTGTTTCTTTTACTTATGTAATATTTTTACTTTATACTTAGATTTTTTATGTAATTTATTATTTTATTTGCTATGACAGGTTGTCTCTACCATAGTAGCAAGCTGACAATTTTGGAGGTGATGATAGTCCGGAGTTGAACGTCTTGAGTGTCAGTAAGAGTTCCGTTCTCCGAAGTGAGAGCTTCTCGAAGATTTTGAATGTCGAGCATGTTATCGACAAGATTTTTCCACAAGGTGTAGTTGTCAGCGGTTAGTTTAGGAATGGCTTCTAGAGCCGTCTTCAGGATGGTAGAGTTTATCTTTTCCATCGTGCTTTCTGTATTCTGTGAGGTGTTCTGGTTGAGAGTTTTTGAGATTTCGGTATTGGTTTTGTTGGATTCCGGAGTGGTCATGAGTGGAGGTTGGATTTTCTGAGGTTAATTCGAATTCGAATTCGACTGTTAATCGTGATGAAAAACAGGAATTATAATTGACACTAGAACCAGAACTTAAAGATGTAAAAAACAAAGGTTAGAGAAACATTAAAAAAGAATCTTGAAATCATAAAGAAAAAAACAATAATAAATAAGAAAATTTACCACGGTGATAGTTTATTTTTGAGTTAGACAGAGAAGAAAGACTGAAGTAGACAATGTCAAACAATGACAGGTAATAGACACTGAGAAACAAGGATTTGAGAAGAAAGGTTAATCAAAAGCCCTTTTTTGAGAGAATGAAATGTTGAGTGATTTTTTCTCACCAAATTGGCAAAAGCCAGGAGAGAAAGTCAAGGGAGAGAATCGGTGGAACAAGGACGAGAGAGTGTTGAGTTGAGGATGGGAGAATGTATCGTCGTCGTTGATGCGAGTGAACAATGAGCGAGATGAGAGAGAGAAAGAAGAGAGCGAGAGAAGAAAAGAAGCGGAGTCGGAGAGGAATATTTAAGGGAATGGTGGATGGAATGGAGAACAGTCGAACAGTGTAGGAGTGGTAGAGATTGGGTGATGGAGGTTAGTCGATCGAGGGAGTGAGTAGTTGATCGTTGGCGATGGCGGAGACTGTTGAGTGAACCTCGTTTGAGACCATTGTGTCGGTTTTTATAGATGAATCGAAGAGAGAGAGAGAGGTTCGGCTTGTGGTTGATGAGTGACCTGTATTTGATACGCCGAGGGATTTGTGGTTGAGTTCGAGGAGTGTTAGGTCTTGATTGGAAGAGAGAAGAAGATGATTATGAGACGAGGAAGGGTTTGATAGTGAAATAGGATACATGACGAGAGCGGAGCGCGGAAAGGGAGCGGGAGCAGAGAGAGAGAGCGGAGCGGGAGAAAACAAGAAAAAAGAAAAGGAAACAAGAGAAGAGAAAAGGAATTATGAGCGGGAGAGCTGGATAATTCCAACAGTCTTCACAGGGATAATTCAGCAGAGTGGGCTGACTCGTGAGGAGTTCCATTCCCGCCTCCAGATCATCGAGGGGGACCTGGGGTCGTGCAACATCTTTGACAGCCTAAGGAAGCAGCGATGCCCAGCCACCGGGGATCATAACAGTCTGGATAATGTTCTCGCAATACCTGGAGCGGCCCACACGTTGTGGAACATCTCGCAAGCAATATTTATCGCCCATTGGGGTGACGAAAAGCTGGCTCAAGACACAGGGGCCTGGCGAATGCTCCATGCACTGGGGATCCAGACAAACAAGCCGACCACCAAAAAGGATTTCAACTTGATGCTCTGCCATGTCGAGAAGATCCATGAGGCGACCCTGCTGTATTGTGTATTGTAAGTCTTCCGATTTGGTTTCCATGTGTATGTTGAGGCTGCCATTCAAGTGGGCCTGCTCGGTTGGGTGCTGAGATGAGTTTGTTTCTGGCGCAGGTTGGTTGCCAACTGGGCATCCAAACCTTTGGCAGCGGAACTGCTGGAGTTGACCTCCGAGACCATTGATCATTGGGTTGAGCAGACATACAATCGGTTCTGCTCACGGGATGCATTGCTTGGCAATCTGGCCAAATCCTCAACCACACACTTGAATCTGCTCTTGAGGATCCGGGATTTTGGTACGATCATTGAGGCCAACCAAGCAATGAAAGCCGGTGATTATGGACGACTTATGTACATGTGGGATCAATGGGCCGTCATGACACAAGGCCTGGGGCAAATGCCTCATTATTCAAAACACCTGCCAAAACTTATCGTCCAGCTCAAATATGTCCTGCCGGACTCGCTGGCCCAGGTGGTTTTGAACACCCTGTTGATATCTCCCTCCGGCATCCCAGGGCATTTTGTTGCCACCGACCAGTACCTTGAAGTGTTGAATTACTGGTTAAAGTATTTCTTCAACAATTCCGGCATTGGGACAAACATAGACCGGCTCAAAGATGTGTTTTCAAGTTCAATTGGGATTGTAAGTGTTCATATGTGGAATGGCTACTTTAATATGAACTGACTGGCTGGTAACACCTGCAATACATGATGGATAGCTACGATATCTCTTGCGGTTGATCAAGATTGAATCCGGGGCCGAAGTCGTTCAACAATCTCACAAGAACAACCTGGCTCTTCACTCCCTCAATAACTTTCGGCGCATGGCCCAAAGCATCGGCTTGGGTCAGGCTTCAGCCGATGATGGACCAGCCGTCCCAATTGTTGATTCTTATGTTAAGGGGATGTCCAAGCTTCAGCATGAATTCACCAACCGAGGGCTCAATCGCCTCAGGCCTTACTCCCCGGGAATACTCAGTATGATCGAGGAAGATGAATTGCGGGACAGTCAACAGAACTCAGGCCCATCAGGCGAACTGGATGCTGAACATAATAGCGATGATAATTCTAGCTCAGAGGATAATGAGGATCGTCAAGAGGCCCTTGAAGATTAAGTCTTAGGTGAGGAAGCATTCCCCTTCTGAACAGCCCCAAGGGCTAGGCCTGCTCGCATTGCCTCAATGTCTGCCTCGATCTGACCTTTCCTCAACACCTTTGCCATATGTGACCGCTGAAGCCTGACGTTGTGCGTGATTCTTCTTGGCCACTGACCGGTTCTCCGCAAGTTCTTCTCGGCGACGCTTGATCCCCTGGGCCTTTCCATCCGCCACCGCATGCCGATTTGCGTCTGCTGCCGCTCGTCTGTTGGACCATTCTTCCGTCTTATCAAATCGATCCATCTCGTCGTCTGCGGCCGACCCCGCCTCCTTTCTTCCTATTCCTTTTTCTACCCCTCTTTGCATCTCTAATGTCATTGTGTTCGGATTTGCAATACATCCACGTTCATGTGATCGAAGTGTCCGCCCATTGACCCCTGTGATCCCATCGTGTCCCTGGGGGGTGACCCTGCTTACAGATCTGCCCTGAGCCAATGTTACATCCAAGCCAGCCTTCGCAGTCGCCCGCACACGAGTTGCCAAGAGCTTTGCGGCCTTCTTGGCCTCAGCCACACGGGACCTTTCGGCTGCTTTCTCGGCTGCCAGGAGGGCCCTCTCTTGTGCCTTGTCTTGTGCCATAGCCATCCGCTCGGCCACCTTCTGGGCCGCCACCTCGGCTTTGGCCGCCGCCTTAGTTGCAGCTTTCTTGGCCTTCTCGGCCTCCCTGCGCGCATGAGATTGGGCCAGGAGGATGGCCAACTCGGATGCCATTGCCTCGCGAACACGTATCCCCTCCGTCTCAATGAAGCGGTTGAGGTCGGCTGTTTGCCGGAGGTGCAACAGGTAGTAATCTCCATCCATCCATTCGGAGATGGCCTGATCAAGGAACTCCACTTGCCCGTGGAAACACTGCCCTCCTATGAGGGTCTCCAGAAGGCCAGTGTTATGCACGTCGGCCCTGCGGATCTGATCAATCGACCCGACAATCGCTCGAGCTTGATCTTGGCCAAAGAAAACCGACGCAATGAATTCTGCCTTGGGGCCCAAATGCATGTTGTAGAATTCCTCAAAGCGATCTACGAGGTGTCAAACTAGATCATCACCTAGGGCGGAGGGATAAGAGCAGGTGCCCTTTGGTGTGACCCTCTTCCGTTTGCGAGTCATCGTCACAATACTTGGATTCTTCATCATTGCATACGGGTCCGTGAGCAGAGCGTCAAAATTGTTGATATTTGCCTGTTGAATCACCTTCATCAACCCCTCAGCCTCCGTAGGGAGGCAATTTGAGCATTTGCATTTGCAAAACCCCAGCTTGACCTCCCGCGCAACCTCGGCCTTGACCTCTGGGTTGTTGTTTGACAGGGGTATGTACCCAATCCTAACCAATATGCGTTAGTTGACAGATAATAACCACCCAACCACAATTGAGCAATAGCCAGGCCATAGACACTCACTTGTTATCAAGAGCCAAAGCCACCCTCAAACAGCAAGTTGTCACCGCCAGCGCATCCATCCGAGTATCGTCATCCTGATATCCTCCCGTTGTAAAATCACTCAACTGATTCTTCCCGTTCTTCCGTGTCGGCTCCATGAATAAGATGCCCAGGCCGGTATTCCCATCTCGTCCGCACCGCCCAACCATCTGCACGATTGCCGCTGGATCTCCTCGGCCCATGTGGATTACACACCGTACTCGTTTGAGGTTCTGACCCAGCCCCAAGGCCATTGTGGCCGATATCACCGGAACCTTGTCCGCCCCGAAATCTGTTATCGTTGTCTCCTTGTCCTCGTCCCCGGTCACCGCATGGTACCTTCGTATGAACGGATCCTTTGTATCATACTCATGTTTCTTCGTGTCTCGAGCCTCGTTGACCACTTTCATCACTTGAAAGGTTCGGTTGCGGGTTCCTGAGTAGATGATCATCGGGACCGCCTTGCTAGCTGCAGTCGTGGTGTGTGGTGCAAATATCCTCAGAAGATCATCGCACGAGCTAAGGGTTGATTCCATCTTGACTCGAATGAATCTGATATCCGGCCGAGTCAGTTCACCATCGACCATTGCAAGCTCGCTTGGCTGGAGCATCAAACTTGTTGTGATCGCGGCCACTGCCTCCGGACGGCAGGTGGCTGAGAGAAGCAGAAGGGGCACATTGTTGGTTGCCATCAGCCGAGTTCCGATATGTCCATACGCAGGTCGGAATATAGCTTGATCCTCGAGCTGCGCAAAGATAATTAGATTCTTGCTTTGTTTTGATGCCACCAGGCCCCACAGGTACACCATGTGGGCCTCATCCACCACAATCAAAGCAAGAATGGCTTGGAATTCATCGCTAAAAAATAGTTTGGTGAAGAGCAAACTATTGAGAAAGACTTCTGGGCTCTGTAATGCCCCATGACCATCAGTCGCGCACAGGGGACACAGTCATTGGCTGGGAGTCGGACTTACAAGGTAAACAAAGCTGAATTTCCCTTGCTTGATCTTGAGGAGCAAGGCGCGGTTCAGAGTCATTTTATTCAGATTAATCGCGGTTATGTTCACTAACTTCTTTTCTCGGACCTACAAGTCAGAATCCATGAATATCAACAATCACCCAACAATTCTGCCTATACAATTACCATCACATTGCTTACCTGGTCGTCGCCCAGAGAATCCAATGGCACCAAAACCAACACAACTACCTTCCGGTCAAATAACCCAAAGTACATCTCAGAAATTCGCGTTTTGCCAAAGCCTGTCCCCGCATGAACGAAGGTATGTCCACCGCGAACCAGCGACAAAACTGCCTCCACCTGGAGGTCTTTGGGATGATCCTTGTATAACTCGACCAATCGGGTGGTTATATGTTCCATCAGAGCGGTCTTGTCCATATCAACAAGACCTTCAAGGCGCTTCGGTGCCTTTGGCTTGTCGGGTTCCATTTCGAGTAGTGTCATCTTGCTTGCAGATGGCCAGTGTTGGGAGTCATATGACCGCCGTCATGTAGTCCTTATGGGATTACCTGGCCAGCGTCCATATGTGCATAGAAACCTGTATATTACACCGAAGCTCCTGTACTTGACGTGTGGCATCAAATACAGGAGCACCCTCCAAATCCCAAATGAAGGATGAAAAACAAAAACCAAAGGTGGGGATGGCCAGAGTGACCTCACCAACTCAGGAATGGGATATCATCATTCCTCTGTAAAAGCCCCTCATATCGGTTGGCGACTTTGTCCTCGGCATCCAATAGATGGATGCAGGAGAAAGGTTCAAAAAAATGGCAGGATTTTTCTAATCGCCTTGGGCCAGAGGGGCGACCTAGCGCATAAGTCCCTCCTGCGGAGGGTCCCTGCGGGACGGCGTCCCCCCTCCCATAGAGGGACTTAGTTAAGTTAGAGTTTTGGGGGTTCCTGAATAATCCATACAACTTTTCAAATTTTGAAAAAAGTGTTGATAAAAAATAAATTGGCTCTGATCAAAATTTGACAAATTTCAATCATGAAACCTGCCAGTTGAGCATCAATTATCAAATAGGATTGGTGTACCTGATGAAGCTGGACCTTATTATGACATGCCCCCCTGGCAAAGATTGCATCACACTGATGTTTATATGTTATGTGCCACCCTTACATCCCAACACAATATTGAAGGAAGCTGAGTAAAGCCAGTGCAAGTACACCATGGGATGGGCTTTTAGAAAAAACCCCCAGCAAAAGGATGTTTTCACATGGGTCCGGCAGTCAAAAAAAGATGGTTGATTGTCAAAAATTGAGCTTGGAGGGTGGTCAATGGTCAAAAAAACCATCCTGAAATATGTTGGGGGGCTATAGCTAATGGTTGGGGGGACATGGGATGAATCCGTGTAGTATAGTGGTAGTATACTTCTGTAAGACAGCTGGCTGGGCTGATGATGAACAGGAGCCAGGCCATGGGTTTGATCCTGGCTTCCTGCTATTTTTTTGCCTGGAGGCTAACAAGCCTACCATCCATTGGGTGGTTTGGTCCACCCATCTGGCTTCAGTGAAATGTGGAGCTCATCCAATGGATGGGCCAAAGTTGGATGGCATTTGGTAAATCCATTTGGGTGTCCAAATTCCATCCGCCATGACCGGTGGTGTATTTGGAGCAGGCTGTTCTGATTCATTTCCTCAAAACTGTGATTCCACAAGTTGTGAGAATCTAGTGTGTGTGAGGCATTTGAACACTTTTTCCAGCTTCTTTGTTTTGCTGGTTCCCAAGAGAGATATAGACAACTTTTTTCCACTATCAAACTGATTACCGCCCTTTTCACTGGAAATAGATGTTGTTCATGATGGCTTGCCCCACAAGCTTGAAATACTTTGATTCATGCCAGTCAATGTTAGATACGGGTGACACAAGAGGTATAAATACAATAGAAAAAATAAATAAATGTGCACTACTGGATGAAATTATTCAGATCCCAAAATGTTTGATTTTTTAACATTGTCCATTTCAGTTTCAGGAGGACACTTGAGCCCAGCTTGCTTGAACACCTAGTGACACAACTGATCATTGATGATATTGCATGTCCTCATCCAAATAATCCAAATAGGGTTACATTCCAGTATGAGTGATTGGGATGGATGGAGTTCACGTTTGATCAGTGAGATGCATGATTACAGGGGGGTTCAAATGAGGGCTTTGCAAGGGGAGATAAACTAGTTTGACACCAGCTTAATCACACAGTTTAGGTATGTGCAGCCCCATGTTTATGCTTGCTCTATCCATAACTAAAACCAAGTTGATGTCCTGGTATTGATTCATAGGTGAAGCTGTAACAAACCCACAAGATTGCTCATCAATGAATTCAAAGATACCAAAAACTCAGTGTATAAATAATAATGATAATCTAGCTGACCAGGATGGACTGTAGGTATTTCTCCAAGTACCTAGGTTCAAGCGGTTGTGATGCTGTGTCCAATGAAACCAATCCATGATATCCAATCAAGCAAAACAGATTACAAGGTCCCCTATTGACATGTATCTGGGCACGGGTTATAAACCCACAATTGTTTCTACAGCTAGAGAGGGGCCAAAGATCATGAAGACAATATTTTTGGAATCTACAGACCAACAATTGAATCACTACACTAACGGTAATGTTAGCACAGTGTGATGCAGTGGAATTCTGCTAATTTTTAGCATAGAAAAGCAGAATTCTTCCACAAATGCACTAACACTACACGTGTGGGCTGCAATGAAGGGCCCCCTATGCTGTGCTTCAATGTGTTTTAGCGGTTTTTAGGCTGTTTTTGCTGCTAAAAGCGCTGTAGCGTAGTGGTACTACCAGAATGTTAACACTACACATTTGGTGCGCTGTTTTGAGGGCTTCTGCACTAATTTTAGTGGGCCAATTAGTGTAGTGTAGTGGCCCATTGTTGTACAAACCATGCAGATTACAAATCTAAAGCAGCAAGCTATTTGTCCAGCCAATTTTTCTAGCAGGTGGGTCATTTAATGTACCTGTTGCCTTAAACATGCATAAACATGAGGTGGGATGGCACATCGGACCCATAAGTATGGCACACAAACCCTAGCTTAAAAAATCCCCTCAAACAGAGGGTCCAGGGGACTTTGTGTGGATCTCTCTCCGTAGGGGAGGCTTATAAATCCTGCTGGAAAGCTTGCAGTGATGGGAGCAATTTTCAGTCCCAAAACTACTTTTCAATTTTTGAAAAAGAACAACACATTTCCACAAAATTTAATTGCATTGTTTGTTATATTTCAAACAATGTAGAGAAGGAGCAGAAAGGATTAAGGGGATGAGACCAGCACCAAATGAAATCTGGGATGCAGAAGTATTTTTTGGCTTTGGGGAAAGTCCACAGATATTGGGATTACTGAGGCTTATTATTTTCCCTCCATCCAGTGGAGATTCCTTTCCTGCAAGGAATTTGACTTTGTGAACAAGTCCCACCCTATGGGTGGGGGCTCTTTTTTCCTGGAAGCACTTGTGTTAATTTAGATAAAAACCCATACACAACACCATAAAGTTTCACATTTTGGAGACCAACCCAATTTTTGATCACCAACCCCCCTTTCCCAAACCAACCCAAAAACAAAAAAAAACCTACTTTTTGGTATCAACCATTTGGACTCCCCTGGATTTATGTACATTGGAATGTGGCACACAAATGTAACAAATGTAGCTGTATGATGATTGTTTGACAGTTTATAAAACTTCTTCTGATGATCCAGTTTTACATGAGACTCAGAGACTTAGATATCACACATCTATGATTTACATATGATATATGGTGTTGCAAGCCCATCTGGGCACACACAAGAGTTCAGCCAGAGAAAGGCCAGTGTTCTGAGCCAACCCCAAAGCCCACTTGGCCAATGCTGAAAGTTAAGCCCTTTGGTACACTCCCAACCCCCACTTGGTCTTCCATGGACTTGTATATTTCCTCCTCTCAGCTTTTATTCAAAATCATTTTTTTATTCAATTTCCTCCCTACCACATTTTTCACCTTGTATTTGTTCTACTTGAACTAGTCTAGCTTGAAGGAATAAGCATCATTGATTCTTTCACTTTTTTTCCGTGAGCCTCTCCCAAAAAATGACCTCTCCTCTTGGCCCCTTTCCCAATTCTCATTTTCTCTTGCACATTTGTTCAAAATTCCAACATCAAGTAAGAGTGTCACAAACAAAAAATTAAACCACCCAGTCAACCTCTCTCCTCAATATGGGGTATAAAGTATTGGCAAATCCGTCATTATTTAATTGACTATTTTTGAGAAACTGTCCATTGTTTTAACATGTTTGTTCTTGATCTTTCACCTCTGGGGACCCACCAGGGGAAAAGACCTGGTTTATAATGGTGGATTTCTTATATTTGAAACCCCCTCATGAATGGTATTTTAGTCTTGTTCCCTAATTATTGCATGGCAGATGGTGGAAATTGGGAATCAATTCCAACTGAAATTCAGAATGTGATCATGAATGATGTATTTTTTGAACAATTTTCAAACAAACTGATGGGTTGATGTGATAAATTGAAAATGATTACAATGTTACAACTGTGATGTGTAATCAAAAAGGTCAATCTCATATCATTAGAAAAACTGTTGTGTGTAGAGAATCAAGATCAATGCAAGTACCTCGTCGACTGGAAGGACACCCTTCCAGTCGACGAGGTACAAGTACCTCGCCAGCTGGAAGGAGACCCTTCCAGCCGGCCCTTTAGAGGGCGGGTATCCGAGGATACCCGCCAGCGGGTGCGGATGCTCAGATGGCCGGAAAAAGCAGCCGGATATCCGGATGCCAATCAACCATCTCTGAAGCCTTTCTTGGAATTCAATGTGATCTTCAATAAGCTTTGATAATCTTTCATAATAATGTTTATAAAATGATTTGACATCCCATTGGCCATTATTGAGTTCATTCATAATGTTTTTGACTTGTATTTGAGTTGCCAGTTGAACAAATGTCTCTATTTGAATAATCCTTTGATCTGTCAAAAAAACCTTATACTTCTGTTTGAAACAATTTGGTAACAAAATAATGATGGATGGAGATATTTCATTTTCAATGAAATCCAAAAGTTCACAAATAGAATAAGACATCTCTGTATCCTCAAAACTCCTTTCATTTGGATTCATTTCTGGGTGGATCTTCAGAAGAAGATGAATGAGTTTGTTCACATCATCCTTTATTTTTGCCTGTCCCTTTGAATTATTTGGTGGCAGAACAAGTCTTTTATGATCCAATATTTTCCACTGTTTTGATTCATCATTTTTTTTTAGTTGATCAATGTATTGATTACCTGATTGGAAGTTTGAAAAGGAGAATTTGAACCTAGGAAGTTGTTTATTGTTTTGATGATTCAGTGGTTTGTGATCAGAAGGTAAATTCCACGGCATTTGAAACCAAGAACTCTGATATTCTTGATAATCTCTCTCAAACTTTTCAACATATACCTCCATGATGA